GATCGACTTTACTTTTCTTTTTTTAAAAATTCGCGAAAATTATTTTTTTTTCAGCGTCCTGAAACCAGTTATTATTTCAACGTTGTTATTAGTTCAACGTTGTCTTTTATGATACACATTGTTGGGAAGTTGATTATTCTAACAGATTATTTGAGTTCGATCGTGCAGGTCCTGAAGTTTCCTGTGGCTATTGGCCGGCTCAATCTATAACGCAATTGGCTAGCGGTGAGAGAATTAGAAGAGAGAGAACGGGAAGAATCGAAGTCTATTAATTGTCTGTATGGAACCGTGGTACTTGGATCCTAAGGATCCGAAATCCAGAGAGGAAAGAAGAATTGTCTGCCCGGGAAAAAAAGTTCCATATATAATTACATATAATTATATGCGAAATATGTCCATATATGTTTCTTTTTTTTGTAAAGTTATTCTTTAATACAACATTGATAATAATAAGAAGGAAACATAAAAAATAATTAAAAAAATAATTTTTACATTATTTTTTTTTACAAAAAATCAAGTTTGCAGAAATGAGAAAAATTGTTCAGATATAATTATATATGTATATTTTTAATTAATTATATACGATTATATATAAGCAAATTTTCTAATTTCTTCAAACATTATTTTTTGTAAAAAAACAATGTAACAATTATTCTTTTAATTATCTTTTATGTTTCCTTCTTATTATTATCAATTTTGTATTAAAGAATAATTTTACAAAGGAAAGAAACATATATGGACATATTTTGCATATAATATTATATATAGTTATATATGGAACTTTTTTTCTCGGGTGTACAATACGAGACTCGAGAGCAGGGATTGCATCCAGCGTTACTCGAAAGTAGATATATTGAATAGTATCAGTTCAGAGATTAAACATTCAGAGTGAAGTTCAGAAAGTTGATTTGCATAAACGCATTGAATTTATTATGCAAAACTATTTAAACACAGAAAAAATCGAGTTTTTTTACATACATTTAGACGTAATAGCGTTGATAGCGTTGATAGTGCTGACGGCAAACAACTTTCCGAATGCGTCAATAAATTTGCTATAAACTTCGCATAGTATACGGCGAGACGTCCGTGTCTATATTTCCGCGAACCGCCGAAATAAGTGAAGTTCACATTTTCATATTTCAACAACAGCTGAATTGATTGAATTTTGATATCTACCATATAAATTATATCAGAAAAGTTTATAGTTTTTTTCCCGATACGGACATATCGTAACGCTAAGTTAAAATAGGTAAATTTTAAGAAATATTCACGTTGTTATCGTCATCAAACAAATTTGCATGACTTTCCTTTTAATACCAGCGAGTAAAAAAGTTTTTTAATTAGTTCTATTGACTTTGAAAAATAGGTAAATATTATTAAAGTTGTACAATAATATAAATCTGCATATATTAATTTTTTGCTGTTTTCAAAAAAAGAATATATATATTTACGCGATAAAAAATTTGTATTTGAATAAAATAACTTTACCTTGGTGCACTTCAAAATTGATTTTATAATTAATGCAGATGTTTATTAGATTTACAATAGCAACGGAATAAGAGTGACTACAGACTAAACTTTCATTATGCGGCTTATACTTGCGTTCACATTGTGCATCTGTATAAACTTAGTCACGTTACTTTGTGTCTCTGCACATATTCAAGAATTTAGTGAAGCTCATATTCTGACAATGCCCGCTTATGCTATTGCTTCGATGGCCAATCTTCTCAAGTCAACGATATGCGGAAAGGAATTGCAGATTTTCCGAGACGCTGTCGATCAACATATACTGTGGAGTTTGAAAGGTACAATTCTTTTAATAAAAATATTGAATAATTAATTAACAATAAGTAATATTTATTGATTTTGTGTAAATAGTAATATTCTACTTTATTATTTTTAGTGTTAGATTCCAATGGCAGATTTAAACCAGGGTTTGTTTATGGAAACAATTATTGGTTGGGTAGTCATAGCCAGTGTATCGATACGACAAATAAAATTCCTCTACAGATCTCAAAACAATTGTTAAATAACGTTATATCGTAATCTGCAAAACGAATTTCCGCCTTTTAAAATAAATTACTTTGTAGTTCATTTTAGACACAACAGTACTATTCAATATCACATGAATATATTTAACGAAGTAAGTTTATTAGATTTTCATATAATAAAAGAGATGCTTAAAGACAAATATATTCCAATGTGATATTACACATGTGATCAAATAAATACAATGTGTTCCATCAAATCCAATTCAAATTAGTTAATGTAATATAATAATTGTTAAGCGTATTTCCTTTAGCTTGTGAAATAAAAAGAATTTGACACTTATAATTAGTATTATATGCAGAATGTTTTATCTTAGGATGTGATTACGCTTGGACTCTGTCTGCCAGCATCGTGCACTATAAATAATTTAAGTCTCATTTTGGAAACAATATTTCGTGATAGAGTTTTCATAATCGATAACTTCAATTTTGCGAAATTCCAGCTGATCCAGGTTAAAGATCTAAAATATAATAACGAATGGTCATTTAGTGGTGCATTGCCTTTTATCTGGTATGTCTCCATTGTATGTAGTAAATTTTTTTGGGTCTCAAAAGATAAAAATTTACTACATACGAATAGTAACTTATTCATTATAACTTTTAATTCATTATAACTTATTCATTATAACTTATAATGAAAGATGTACAATAATGCTATGAAAGTAATTTTTCTTAATCTTAATTGTCTAAAATATAAAGATTCAATAAAGAAATATTTTGTTTGTAGTGTTGCTTTCGGATTTTTTTTTCTTATGACAATAATCGGAACATTATATGATATATTTGTGCTCCAAAAACATATATGTATAAAACAAAATGAGATAAATAAAACTAATAATGACGGTAAGTGTTATGTCCAGGAGGTATAAAAATATAGAAGGTATAAATTATTTTGACATTCATCTGACTATTTTTACGTTACGTGTACGTATTGATAAATTGCAAATTACTATTAGACTCCGAATTATGATTCAGGCATTGAAAACATATTCGACGGAGTGAAAAGAGAAACAGAAGTAAATTTGTTTACTGATCGGGAAAGTAAAATTGGTAAAATACTCATATGTTTCTCCGCTTACACAAATACGAGAAAAATATTTAGCACGAAATTAGATGCCGGCACAATACCCGTTATTAATGGCTTAAAATTCCTAAGCATGTGTTGCATAATTATTGTGCACAGTATATATTATGTATTTGATTCTATTGGTAAGTAATTTAAAATAAGTACATCTATGGAATAAATATGTTTTAGTCTAGTAATTTTTATCTTTTATGCATAATGAAAATTATATTATATACACAGATAATAAAATATGGATGATGAGAATCTATGAAAGTTATGCTTATTTTTATGACATTGGAGTTATGGCAGTCGACATTTTCTTTTTTTCAAGTGGATGTTTGGTGACCTATTTGTATTTAAAAGATAAAACAAACGAAAGGTCAATTAAGCCAATTAATTGCAGAGGCAAACTGATTGAATTCTTTATCTACATAATGAAAAGATTTATTCGGTATGTTTTGTCCTTATCTCGAGTCGTGTAAACAAAGAAAACAATGCAATAAACATAATAATATTATTGCAATAGAGATCAAAATGAGAGAAAATGCTACGAAAAATTTAATTGTAATATACATATAAACTGAACAGAAACTTATTTGCATACGTGTATTAATTAAAATTTTATTTTTAAGATTGACACCGGCTTACATGATGGTATTAGGAATATCACAATTGAGCTCAGCTTGGTTTAATAAAACTTCGCAATTTTACATGAATGAAAGGTTGCACGAAACTTGCGCGAAGTATTGGTGGAGAAATTTTTTGTACATAAATAATTTCTTCGGTGTCGATTCAATGGTACAAACCTGTTTGATTACGATCTTAAGATCTTAAGAACTTGAAATTATCAATCAAAAGTATAAAACTTTTATTTGAAAATTTTTTACAGTGCATGGATTGGAGCTGGTATCTAGCTAATGATATGCAATTTTATATAATTGCGATGACGCTGTTAATTTTATCGACTGTGTAAGTTAACTAATTATTAAGGCGATGCCGGAAGGTCCGAAAAATTTGCACGAGGTCGATATAAAACAGTCTGTTCAATTTTAATGGTATCTCTAAATGAACTTCTTACAATATCTTCTGTCTCAGTCAAACACGTACATTATCCTTATCTAACTTATTAAAACGCCATCTCTTGCATAATCCGGCACTTACTACTAGATGCAATTTTTGCTGTTTTTACCATTTCGTATTTTGGTTATGCGTACGAATTACTACAAATTGCAGTTCAGTAGATATCTTTTTTTCTACGCTTTCAATCGTAGCTCAAAAGGCTTTGTATTATTCGTTCATGCTGTGGTGTTAGACATAAGCATTTCGTACATATGAGCTACAGAACTTTTACACTATAAATGAAATGTTTATGTCAGGTTATGGTTAGGTGTCAGCTGTATGACCCGAAAAAATGTAATTTTTTAATTTTTTTCCTATTTTACTACAAATTTGACCGTCTAACATCACAATTTCATGTCTATTTCAACCCTGAAAAAAAATTTTCAATTCCGTTCAGCCAATTCGGAGAAATTTACTGAACTGCAATGTGTCGGTATTTTCGACCTTCCAGTATCGCCTTAACGGTATTGTATGTAGTTAATGTATATCTTAATTATATTTGAATAAATATATATTATAAATTTTAGATACTTCTACGTCGTTGTTATAATACTGAGTGCACTTTTAATAGGCTGCATTATCCTTAGCGGTTATATTTCGTATATTTACGGATATGTTCCGACGTAAGTTATTGAAATATCTTGCTTATCGAGAAATTAGTTAAGAGAATGTTTTTTTCATTGTTATAGATTTGATGAACAGGTTAGACTTCTAGATGTCTTATATCTCCCACCGTGGACAAGAATAAGTCCTTATATTATTGGAATAATTTCAGGCTACATTTTAATAAAATTAAATAACACTTTGATCTTGAAAAGGGTAAAGTATTATTTTTTTAATGTATTAAAAGGAAATAGTTACATTGAAATATTTATGAAGTATGTAAACTACTAATTAATTCTTTACAAATTAATTATAAATATAGTAACGCATATAAATAAAAATGTTTTATAATAATTTAATATTTTTTTCAGCAAATTACAATTTTATTTTGGTGCCTTGCTAGCGCTTGCAATATGTCCGTATTACTTGTGTTGCTTTACAATCGAGATATATCCGTTTTAGCTACTTCTATTTATGTAGCGTTGCATAGAATATTTTGGACCATAGGTATAGCATGGATTGTAATAGCGTGTTCCACTAAACACGGAGGTTTGTTTATTTAATAATATAATTACATCTGTAAGAAAAACGTTAAAAAACCTGTGACGATACGCCCCCGCTTCGTCACTATGTGGGGCCGACCAGCCGCCCCTGGCGCTCAGCGCCACAATTCCGACTAAACACGTGCGCTGAGCATGTTACCCGAGGGTAATCCTCTCTCCGCAGCCCCCGCCGAAGCCCATCGGGTATATAAGCCGACGCCGCGGAGCGACGGCTACCAGTCCAGTCCCGAATCTACTCTTGTCGAGACCGCTCCTCCTGAGAAGAGAGTCAGGGCGCCTGATTTCTTTGCTGCCTCCTGAGAAGAGAGTCAGGGCGCCTGACTTCTTCATTCATCCTGCGAAGAGAGTCGGGGCGCCTGACTTCTTTACTCATCTTGCGAAGAGAGTCGGGGCGCCTGACTTCTTCACGTTTCCCGCCTCCAGAGAAGAGAGCCAGGGCGCCTGGCTTCTTCGTTCCCCGTTAGACCAGAGTACCTCATTGACATCGGGCACACGCAGAAGGCCAGGGCGCCTGGCTTCTCCCCCCACTGTCGGGCCAGGGCGCCTGGCCGACATTGACCAGCTCCCGATCTCGCTGCGTCTAGGTGCCGCGCTGCCGCGCTACAACCGCTCGTCGAGGGCCTCCCACGCTCGCTCCGCTCGTTACCGACCGTACCGCACGGAACGCCGGATTTGCCGACCGTAACTTCTGACCGGTCCCGCCGCCTTACCGATCGTCTCTCTGAACCTCGGGAAAGTCTCGCTAACATGCATTGGTCGTCTCGCGCTTTCTTGCATACCTGGCCCGGCGAGCATATCCGAGCGCAAGAAAAGCGAACCGTCACAAACCTTTTGCATTAATAAATGTTCATTGTCTAACACAATTAATATACATATAACTAATGTTTATATCACATCAAATCAGCATATTTTTAGTCTATAGTGATACATATTATATTCTAAATTGTTATGGTTTAAAAACATTATATTGTTTCTATCATGCTTGCTTTTATTATAGGCATCGTTAATCAGTTACTGTCATTTAAAGGCTGGATTGCTCTTAGCAGACTTACATATTGCGCTTATCTTTTAAATCCGGTTATTATACGATCAATTTGTTTACACAGAGAAACATCATTTCATATAGAACTTCTGCCTACAGTAAGTATATGAATACTTAGAATCACAACATTAATAGAGAAATAAGCAGATAAAGTATTAATTTCTTTTAATTTTGTTTCTAGCTTCTTATAAATATAGAATATATTATAATCAGTTACGTTTGCTCTTATATATTGTCTGTGATGGTAGAAGTACCCTGCATCTCGTTAATGCGAATGTTTATCCATTATTGGAATAATAGGATGCATAGGAAAATATTATAATTTTGCATATAAATTGTCTCATATAGCATAAGGTGAAAGTGTATTTTAGCAATATTTTATTGGAAAATTACAAATACATTGCAATAATCCTCCAAAATTGCAGCGACACTAAAAATGTCCTAAAAACTGAGATATTAAATTATAACATTGCAATGTATAATATGTTTAAAATTAATTAATGCTATTACTATTTAATAATGTTACACGAACAATATTTTTGTCTTCAATAAAGAAACATATGGAGACATAAAATAAATAAAATATTTATATAAACAGAAATTTGTAATTATTTCATGGTCAAGATACAGATTTATAGTTATATATGCCCTGCATAATTAATAGTGCTCGGAAAACCCGGGTACTCGGGTAAAGTCATTCGTTGCACACAGGTGAAATCGATTCCGCGGATACCTGTGTGACACGGGTACCCGTATCACACGGGTATCCGTATCACGCGGGTACCCGTATCACGCGGGTATTCGTATGATACGAATTAACACTTACTTTATATTAGTACCCGCATAACACTTACTTTATATTAGTACCCGCATTACACGAGTATTTCGCATTAGACGGCGAATGAATCGCATTAAATATTTTAATATATCCAAATAAAAACATTCGATAAAAATTATTCAAAATTTATAAAATATTTAAAATAACCTTTACTATATTTTATTAAAATTTAAATTAAAATTTACCAGGTAAAATACAATCAATAGAAATTAAATTATTCTGCAAAAAAATAATTTTTATCGAATGTTTTTATTTGGATATATTAAATTATTTAATGCGATTCATTCGCCGTCTGATGCGAATACTCGTGTAATGCGGATACTTACTAATATAAAATGAGTGTTCGTATGATACGAATACCCGTGTGATACGGGTACCCGAGGAATCGGTTCTCACCTGTGTGCAACGAATGACGGGCGGGCGGGCGGTTCTCAATTTTTCTTGTTACCCGGTTCTTTTTCCGAACACTAATAATTATATCAAGAGACACGGTAGTCTCGTGCTAAGTGCATGTGCCAGTGTACGAGCGCGAGACATCCGATTACGTGTCTTTATACGAGTTAACGAGTTGAGCAATTATCAGATCTTACAATCAATAACTAAACCAATCGATTTCTTACTAGGCTTAATCAATTATTCGAAACGTTAATATAAGAAATGTGTTTCTTAATTTTTTTGATCCATTTTTTACAAACAGAGATATTATTGTAATGTATTATCTCTATATATCAAAATCGGGCAATTTACTTTTAAGTTTTTCAAGAACAATTAGTAATGTGAACTGCAGTATCGCTCATATAGCCGAGCTTTGTGCCATAATACATTGTTTAGAAGCAACAAAATTTTTGACAATATTGCTGATTCTTTGACATCACAGAACAAGGTAAAATACCTCCAGATAATCATGCATTTTTTCGATTCGAATCCCGATAAAGTTTCGCGTGCTGAAGATATCACTAGGGAAACTACGACGGCAATCAACAGAGTGCTTCCGCATGTGATATCGTTTCAATTGACGGAAATATATATTGCATTACTTATATTTACGATAATGTCTTAAATAAAGTAATATAATAGCATGAATCGGCAAAATACTATCATTTATTACAGAAAATAGCAAAAATATTACGGAATACCCACACAACACGTGGACGTCCTTCGGACGTCCGATTTGTGTCCTCAAATGTCCTATTTATGTCCTCGTATTTCGGACGTCCTCGGGATGTCCAAAGATCATATTTTGGATGTCCGGATATATATATACAGGGTGGACCATTTTAATCTATCCAGTCGAATATCTCGAAAAATAAGCACACTAGGAAAAAATGTTTCAGACAAAAGTTGTAGGGCTTCGAGGGGGACATAAGATGATAACATGGTCGGAAGAGCACACGTCTGAACTCCAGTCACTT